TTCGATAGGTTCTGCTGGGAGTTCGGAATCATCGGTTGGTTTCCTCTTCGAGAGTGGTAGTGTTGCGTTTGCTTCTGGTTCCTCGCTAGGTTCTTTCAGTTTGGGATACTTCTTGGGATCTGTCGGTGCTTTTGAAGCAGGTTTACTTTTATCGAGTGTTTTAGGAAGGGGTTCATCTTTTTCAGGAGCTTTTTTTGAATCTTTAAATGAAGGTTTTGGGGTCTTTTTAGGAGAAATTTCTTTATCTGAAGGTTCTACATCCAACTCTTCTTCATCATCCGGAAGCTTGACTTTTGGAGCTGGCTTTTCTGGTATCATTTTAGAGTCTTTAACTGAGGGTTTCGGCGCTTTCCTAGAAGGGGTTTTGTCATCCAGGGGCTCTACATTTAATTCTTCTTCATCACTTGGTTTCGTCTTTGGTACTTCTTTTCCCGGGATTTTTTTCGGTTCTTTAAATGAAGGTTTTGACGTTTTTTTATGGGGAACTTCGTCATCAATGGGCTCTACATCCAATTCTTCCTCATCTCTGGGTTTCTTTCTGTTCAGGGGAAGAGCGGACGTTGTTTTTGGTTCGTCATCACTCGGCTTTAACTTTGGAAACCTTTTTGGTTGATCTTTCAAATTCGTTGGAGTGGCCTTATCTTTCTCAGGAACTTTTGAAGTAGGCTCCTTTTCGTTAGCCTTTTTTGAGTCTTTGAAGGAAGGTTTTGGCATCTTTTTTAAAGGTGCTTCATGATTGATGGGCTCCACATCTAATTCCTCCTCATCATTTGGCTTTTTCTTAGCAAGAGGAAAACTAGCTGTAACTTCCGGCTCGTCCTCCACAGGTTTTAGTTCCGGGAACTTCTTCGGCTGTCCTTGCGAACATTTCTCTAGAGGTTTCTCGGAACCTTTAGTTGAGTCTTTAAACGACGGCTTTGGCTCTTTTTTGTTAGATGTTTCCTCTTCATCAATGGGTTCCACGTCCAACTCTTCTTCATCATCCATCATGTCTTCTATCGACGGCTCTGCTATTAGCACTTTTGGGACT